GATAACAGCAGCGAGATTATTGATAGGTAAATACTGGAAAAATGAAGCTTTGCCCACTATTGAAGAATGGACTTTGAAGATGGCCAGTTTTGCGGAGATGGCGAAGATTTCAGCATATTTAAAAGATCGCTCACAAGAGACTTATGAATGGGAATGGAAAAAAATGAATAGATTATGTGCAGAACAAATATCAAACTAGGAAGTATCAAATAGCATTTCATTGAAAGTATTATATAAAAATAGAAATGTATGAACTTTGAGAAGATGAAAAATTATAAGGCGGTTTGAGGGGTTCAGATTTTATAAAAAGGGGATTTTGATGGGATTATATTCTGTGGAAGTCAGGGTGGAGGGTTAGGGAGGTCCGGGGGGGTTAGGGTGGGGAGTATGGGGTGGGTTGGGGGGGGAAATGGGGTGAAAATGTAATTGTAAAACTTTTGCAATAAAAAAATAAATAAATCTGAAGGAGCCCCTTAGATCATCTAGTCCAGTGATGGCTAACCTTTTTGCCGTCCCGTGCCAAAAGTGAGGGGAGCGTGGGGGTCGCGTGTGCGTGTTCCCACATCCATAATTCAATGTGCCCTGCCCTCCCACGCATGCGTATGTGACCCCTCCACACTTCCCTCTGCTTTTGGCACGCGATGGCACGGTGGGCCAGTAGGCCCGTTTTTCCCCCTCCCCAAGCTCCAGAGATTTTCTAGGAGCCTGGGGAGGGCAAAAACAGCCTTCCCCATCCCGCCGGAGGCTTCCGTAGGCCGAAAACAGCCAGTTTCCCGAGTTCTGGTGGGACCGGAAGGCCTGAAAATCAGTTGGCCTGTGTGAAGATGCACACTGGAGCTGAGCTAGGGCAACACTCACATGCCCACCAATATGGCTTCGCGTGCCACCTGTGGCACCCATGCCATAGGTTCACCATCACGGATCTAGTCCAAACTCTCCTCCCTGCAGGAATTCCAGTTAAATCTTTTCTGACTCATAGCTGCTCGGTCCTTGCATTAAGAAATTCAGTGAAGTGATGGCTGAATTTCTCTGCTTCTCTGGCTCAACACTAAAACTTCACTTCTTTTAAGATTTTTTTCCCTCTTATTCAGTCAGAATCTTGTCTCTTGTAACCTAATTCATTTTTTCCAAACCCCTGTCTAAAATAACATTGAACAGATCTTAAGTGTTTGTGTAACAGCTTTCAGTTATTCTCCACCCAAGAGCTTTTATTAGTTGGAAAATCAATCAAACAATCAATTGATCAATCAGAATAGAGCTGGAAGGGGCCTTGGAGATTTTGTACTCCAACCCCATGGTCAAGCAGGAAATCTTATACCATTTCAGACAGGTGGCTGTCCCGTCTTTTCTTAAAAGATTCCAATGATGAAGCATCCACAACTTCTGAAGTTGTTCCACTGGTTAATTGTCCTCACTGTTAGGAAGTTTCTCCTTAATTTGAGATTGCTCCTTTCCTTGATTAGTTTCCATCCATTGTTTCTTGCTTTGCCTTCTTTGGAAAATATGTTGATCCCCTCTTCTTTGTGGCAGCCCCTCAAATATTGCCATTGTGTCACCCCCTAGTCCTTCTTTTCTCTAAACTAGCCATGCCCAATTCTTGCCATCATTCTTTGTATGTTTTTGTCTCCAGGACTTAGTTGCTCTTCTTTGCAATTTTTCAAAAGTCTCCACATCTTTTTTGTAACACAGTGACCAAAACTGGATGCAGTATTCCAGGTGTGGTTATACTAAGGATTTAGAAAATGGTACTAATACTTCACATGACTTTGATTCTATGCCTCTGTTTATACAACCAAGGATTGCATTGTCTTTTTTGGCTGCTGGCACACATTGCTGGCTCATGTTTAAGTGATCATCCATTAGGACTCCAAGCTCCCTCTCACAGTAACAGAAAAGATGTTCCCAGACTCCTCCTGATTTTTTGCTCTACTAGATCAATATGGCTCTTCTCCCTGTGTTCTTTCCTCAGGGGTAAGAGCAGCTCCTTTATTTATTTATTTGTTTAAATTTCTATACCGCCCTTCTCCAATATAGGACTCAGGGCGGTGAACAGCCAAAGTAAAAACAAGACATACATACAAAAAATACAAAATCTAAAAACTGATTAAAATAATTAAATATTTTGGCCGTAATTAAAACAATACCAATTTAAAATCAGTTTAAAATTTGACTCAAGCCAGCCCAGCTAGTTGAAATAAATGGGTTTTCAGGGCCCGATGAAAAATCCGGAGGTCTGTTATTGTACGTAACTCTGGGGGGAGGTTGTTCCAGAGGGTGGGCGCCACCACAGAGAAGGCTCTCCCCCTGGGGGTCGCCAGCCGACGTTGTCTGGTGGACGGCACCCTGAGGAGGCCCACTCTGTGTGAGCGTACTGGCCGGTGGGAGGCTATTGGTGGCAGAAGGCGGTCTCGTAAGTACCCTGGCCCTAAGCCATGGAGCGCTTTAAAGGTGGTCACCAACACCTTGAAGCACACCCGGAAGACCACCGGGAGCCAGTGCAGCTCGCGCAGGAGAGGTGTCACATGGGAGCACCTCGTCGCCCCCATAATCCCCCGCGCGGCCGCGTTCTGGACCAGCTGGAGCCTCCGGGTGCACCCCAGGGGGAGCCCCATGTAGAGAGCGTTGCAGTAGTCCAGGCGGGAAGTGACGAGTGCCTGAGTGACTGTGTGTAGGGAGTCCCGATCTAGAAAGGGGCGCAACTGGCGTATCAGGCGAACCTGATAGAAAGCCCCCCTGGCCACGGCCGTCAAATGATCTTCTAAAGACAGCCGTGCGTCCAGGAGGACACCCAAGTTACGAGCCCTCTCCGTGGGGGCGAGTGATTCACCCCAATAGCCAGCGATGGCATCAGCTGGCTATATCGGGATGCCGGAAGCCACAGCCACTCGGTCTTGGAGGTGTTGAGTCGGAGCCTGTTTCTCCCCATCCAGGCCCGCACAGCCTCCAGGCACTGGGACATCACTTCAAGGGCATCATTGGGGTGGCCTGGGGTGGAGATGTACAGCTGGGTGTCATCAGCGTACTGATGGAACTCCACCCCGAAGCCACGGATGATCGCACCCAGCGGCTTTACATAAATGTTGAACAGAAGGGGCGAGAGGACCGACCCTTGTGGCACCCCACAAGCAAGGTGCCTCGGGGTCGACCGCTGCCCCCGTCAACACAGATTGCGACCGGTCAGAGAGGTAGGAGGAGAACCACCGCAGAACGGTGCCTCCCACCCCCAACCCCGCCAACCGGTGCAACATGATACCATGATCTCTTCCTTGGATTCATTACTGTTCCCTAAAGCTAATTCAATTTTTCTGAAATATTTTTTTTTCCAAATGTAGTGCCTGCAAGGAGCAGTTGTGGTCTCCCCCCAAAAACCCAACATTCACTTCCTGATATGCTCATGGAGGCATTTGCTTTCTTTCCATTAACATGACACTGCTGATTCACATTTAGTTTGTAATCAGCTACTATTCTGAGATCATTTTCATAAATACTTTTATTAAGTTTGATATTGTTCATCATTCTTGCTCTCCATTTCTATTTATTTATTTATTATTTGTTTGTTTGTTTGCTTGCTTACTTATGCACTTATTTACTTATTTATTTATTGACATTGATTTTTCAGCTCATTTTGATAAACATCATTTTATGTCTGTTTCTAAGTTATACATTTAGACACCAAATTTGATATCAGCTATCAATTGGTAGCCCTTCAATTCCCTTTCATCAAAATCATGAATGACATTATCATGAAATTAATTTTATGATTATTATCAAATCAAATCAGCTATCAATTGGTAGCCCTTCAATTCCCTTTCATCAAAATCATGAATGTCATTTTCATGAAAATAATTATATAATTATTATCAAATCAAATAAATATACTACTAATTCTAATTTATTATGATCAGTGACCACTATATGTATTTAACTATATGGGAAAAGTACAAATGAAATGCTAATAAAAGGTCGACATTGTAGCTCCTATCTACAGCTTTGTTCTTATATGAGGTGCTCAAGTCTGTTGTAGTTGCTGAAATAAGATATTTTTCTACTGGATTTTACTTATGTACTTTTCTCTATCACGAAATCATAAAAGTTTCTTTGGAAGCTTCATCTTTTTTAAAACAATATAATTTCAAAGTCAGTTTTAGTCACTTAATTATTATACCATCCATTATACCATCAATTCCTCATTTAAGTAGGTTTCTAATTATCACATCACAAATTAGTTCATTATTCCTTGCTAAAATCAAGTTATATCACCAGCATTCTCACAGTATTTCAAAAATGTGTAACCATAGAAGGTGGAGGAGGAGCTCACAACTGAATAACAGGCAGAGAGGGAAACTCAGACAGAATCCACCATAACTTCTCAAGTGTAAAAAGAATTGGTGAGATATTTGTACTTTCAGATATACATGATTGTCTCACATCGCAAGATGAAAAGCATATAAAATTAATGACAGATAAATAGAATAGAGAGAGAGAGAGAGAGAGAGAGAGAGGGGAGGGAGAGAGAGAGAGAGAGATTCTCTTAATGTAGCCTAATTGCTTGTTGTTCCCATGGAATGTATAAATATTATGTTTGTGCAATTTATTTGTGACCTGATTCAGAAAGTTTCCTATGATTGACAAATTTTGTCAATTGTATTGTTTTCAGAACATATATTGACCATATATAATTGACAAACTTTGCTGAAGTTTTCTTTTCCATTGTTTGAAGATAGCAATGTGTTCTCCCTACTAAGAATATTTGGAAGTTAGATGACTGTAAAAGAAAGATTCCATTTAGAACAGACAAAAAAGTGATCAGTTACCAAAATTGTTGCTTTTGAAATTCTTTGATATTCCCATTCTAGTTCCATCCCTATCTGAAGAAGAATGAGTTCTGCAATTTTTCCAATTACAAACTGTACTTGGACCAAAATGGTGATGTAAAGGCTGATCTGAAGCTCATTAGCTGGGTGTTTCTTCGCAAGAAGAATCTCATGAAAGACCAACTGGTGACTTTGGAAAGGCAGAGAATTATTATCAATGAAGATCATATGTCATGGCTAAAGTTGCACAACAGGGTAGGAGAAATATTGATGTCTTTTCTCTATTTTCCAAAGGGTTTGACCCATTTCATTGGGCTAAATCTATGTACTGTGGCTTAGTGTTGAAATGGAGAAGCTACATGAAAATGATCAGAGATGCCTTCAAGTGCTAGGGATTATGGTTTGCTTCTTCCTTGTCCTCAAATACCAAACAAGAAGGCATATTTGTTGACCAGTCCCTGAGTTCAGGTTTAGACTGAATGGTTTTGGTTCCAGTGAGAAATAAGCTTTGGAATTAGGATTTACCGTGCACTGATTGGGGCCAGTGTCCCATTAAAGGGCAAGGAAAGACATTTTTTAAGCAACCCAGACCTGACCAGAGTTACTCATTACAATCTCTCACTCCTCTGAGATAGCAAAATAGGCTCCTATGAAGGAGGTCCAAGAATTTTTTTGTCGACATGGTGTCAAAATGATTGGACTGCTGAGAGATAATGCCCTGACCCAGGAAACTGAAGTAATAAAACATGATTTTGACTCAAAGAAAAGCCTTTCCTAATATCTGAAGTAATGATGGACAATTTAAAAGGAAATATTATTTAGATTTGGGCTTTGGCTTGTAAGACGGCACTTCATCTAAAAACCCCTTGAATACAATTGTTGATATTAATTATTAGCTACCTTAAATCACTGGGAGGGGGGAATGGAGGCTCCAAATTTAATTAATAACAAATATGATTTTGTTCTTCTATGGCAGTTGTTGTTACCTAATTGTAGTTCTTCAGCAGAAAGGACCTTGTCTTGGATACCTAGCTGGGCCTTAGACATTCCCACATGTGGCTCATATGTGCTGCAGCAAAAGATTCCTGATTTACACTTTCTGAGGGACACGTTCTCATAACCTCACCTCTATCTCACATCACTACAGTACTAGAAACTAAGTAGTCACTTTTACTCTTATTTCAAGAGCATGTCAGCATGTCAGGATGGTTAGTGCTATCATATTTTCTTTGGAATTCTTTGTTTTTCTATTTAGTCTCTTCCTCAGTCCAAATGTGTGGAAAAATGTCATCCTGGATTTGTCAAGCAGAAGCGAGAAGGAGAGCCATTTTGCTGTTACGACTGTGTTCCTTGTCCGGAGGGGACCATCTCCACTCAGGAAGGTGGGTGACACTGGAGGAAAGGACAGCCCTTGTGGAAGTGGATTCATCCAGAACAATTTTCACTAAAGTGAAAGTTAAAAGACAAAATGAACTTCAACTGATTTCTTTGTATATTTTCAAATTGCACAATATTTTTATCAAAATCAAAAATAATAGAGACCTTGATAGGGATTGGAGAATATAGCATATTGGGCAAGTTTTGTTATTGCCAAACAAAATACCTCTTATATTTTTTAGTTTGGATCTGCCTTCCACATTTATATTTCTAGGAACATTTAAGTTCTTTGAAACTGAGAGAATTGTCTTAGGTCCATTTCCTGGAAGGATTATTGCAATGCTCTTTAAATTGGCCTCCCTTTTTGGATCACTGGAAGGTATCACTGATCCATAATGAGGTGGTGTGGACAATTACTGAGGCATCTCGTTACACCAATATTACTTCTGGTCCCATAGTCATTCCAGATTATTTGCACGATTAGCTTTCTCTGCCAGCCAATTACATTTCAGAAGATAGACATACTCTAAGCCCAGTACTCAGAGTACTAAGAAGTACCATCTCGAAGGACCCCAAAAGTGTGCCATAAGATAATATGATTGTTTATAATTGATTATTTACCTGTAATAATCTGGTTTACTATGAACATTCTGCAGATTACAGAGGAAAGCAAAGAAAAAGTCATAATTTTCCCCAATTTCATAGACCTTAGCTTTATATGTTTTAGAAAATGATCTTCTTCCTACCTTCTTCCTGAGGAGATATTAAGAAATACACCTTGTAAAATGCTGCTGTTCTCCCAAGAAGGTATTCCTTGAAATGTAAAGGACAGAAATTTAAGGAAGTATTGTCTTTTTATTTTCTCAGATACAGAAAAATGCACCAAGTGTTCAGATGATCAATATCCAAATGAGGTCCGAGTTCAATGTCTCCTCAAAGTAACAACCTTCTTGTCTTATAAAGAATATTTGGGCTTCATCCTCATCTCTGTTGCCCTACTCTTGTTCCTAACTACAAGCCTTGTTTTAATCTTATTCATTAAATACCAAGAAAGTCCCATTGTCAAAGCCAACAACCGGGACCTCTCTTACACCCTCCTGGTCTCCCACCTGCTTTGCTTCTTGACTCCTCTTCTCTTCATTGGTCAACCAAAGAAAGCCACCTGCCTTCTCCGACAAATGGTTTTCAGCATCACCTTCTCAGTGGCTATTTCTTCTCTTTTGGCCAAAACATTCACAGTTGTGTTTGCTTTCCTGGCCACAAAACCAGGAAATTGCGTTAAAAGGTGGTTGAAGAAGAGCTGGGCCAACTCCATCATCCTTTCTTCTGCTGCTATCCAAATTATCATCTGCTCCATCTGGCTTGGAGCTTTTCCCCCATTCCCTGACTCTGACTTTCACTCCCAGCCTGGAGTGATCATCCTGCAATGCAACGAAGGGTCTGTTGTCATGTTCTACACTACCCTCAGTTATCTGGGCTTCCTGGCTGCCATCTGCTTTACAGTGGCTTTCCTAGCCAGGAATCTGCCTGGTGTCAGCGTTCCAAATTAGGCTTTCTTCCAGCGCTGACATAACAAGTTGAAGCAGAAAGAGCGGAAGCTTGATTTATTGCTGAGATGAACTTTTACCTAGTTTTGTTTATACAGATAGGGTATCCTGGGAGACGAGGGTGGGGGCTGCATTCCTGTGAAAAGAACGTGCTGGGATGTAGAGATGGATCTGTATGATGGCCAATGGGACGTGGGGGCTGGAGAGCGGAAGAGGAGGGGGTTGGAAGGAGGGGCCAGTTTGGCTGCAAATTTGAGTCAGAAATGTCGGATTCTGCTATGCTTAAAAATAAAATGTTTCATTAGACAGCTTGCGCTTGAGAATGAAGTTTATTCAAGATAGCACCGAAACCTGACACCTGGAGCTTTCAACGAAGCCAAGCTGATCACCTTCAGCATGCTGGTCTTCTGCAGCGTCTGGGTGACTTTTGTGCCTACTTATCTGAGCACCAAAGGGAAGTACATGGTGGCCGTTCAGGTCTTCTCCATCTTGTCCTCCAGTGGTGGTCTGCTGGGCTGCATCTTCATCCCCAAGTGCTACATTATCATTCTGAGGCCAGACTTGAATACAAAGAAGCAGCTTATGGCCAAAACAAATGCAGAAATGTGAAACATAAGAATTTTCGCTCTCAAAATTTTCTGAAAGTCGAAACCTTGAATATGATGCAAGATGTTGTCCATACATGAGTGGGCCAATGATTTTGCTTGGAAAAATTAAAGGCCAGTCCGAAAATAGTGTCCTCCATCGTTTTCCAGCTCATTGCACGATGGACACTTAGCTCTTTTGACTAGTTGAATCATCCTGTGCCCTTAGCTGATCCCTGAAAATGCCCCAGCAAGATATTTTAAACATGAGGTTTCTACAATGGGAACCTTGTTGATATGGCAGAAATAATTGTATAAATGCAGTGGAGGCTGTAAAAATGCCATTATTTTAGTTGTATGCTAGTTTATCTGCAGTTGGGATTCTTTGTCCTATTGGACCCAAGATGTCAGCACCATCAACATAATACTGCATTCCATCTACTGTGCCATAAATAAATAAATAAATAAATAAACAAATAAATAAATAAATAAATAAATAAATAAATAAATAAATAATTTTATTTCTATACCGCCCTTCTCCCGAAGGACTCAGGGCGGTGTACAGCCTATCAAAAACACAAAGACAGACATCAGTTAAAATTAATTAAAATGATTATATAGTTTCGGCTCAGATTTTAAACCCCAAAAATTTAAAACCCAATTTAAAAATCATTACATTTATAGCCCGGCTTGGCGGAACAGCAGGGTCTTGAGGGCATAGCTCATTATTATAAATTAATATAATATAAAGATGGTGGTTGTTATGAAGAAGCAAACGATTTCTCCTCTGGCAGATAGAAATGTGGGTGGTGGGAGTGCTTATCTACTCATTCTGATCAGTCATTGCACCTCTTTCTACCGATCCCTGTGTCATGTAGGACACAGAACTTAATCTTAATCCCACATACCTGTAGGATTTTGTAGGTGGCAAAAACGGCTGCAATCTCAGAGAAGGTGTCACTCTCGGTCCCTTCAAGGACAATAAAAAGCTCTTTCTGCCTTCTACAGCTAAACATAGGAACCTTGACCTCCCCAGCAGAGAGCAGGTTCAGCACAGCATCCCAAGTCCTTCTGGGGTTCAAATAATTGTCATGAAGAATTTAACCCAGGTGGACATTTGGAAGGAGGTGGAAATGCTGGTTGATCTCTTGGATGGCAAAAAAGAAGTAGAGGTCTTTGCAGCATTGGGTGGATGCTCTCCTAATAAAAGCTAATGTGAATTGATTAGAATAGAACCAAAAAGAAACAGGGAGAAAAAAACAGAAAAAAGCTAAAAGCATACCAAGAAAAAAATTCTGGTTTAAAAAAACCAGAATGATATAAATAAAGCTATAGAAATATAAAGAAGTAACTTCCAATATTCTTCACGGTAATTATAAGTACTTTTATATTTTAACCTCTCTCTCTCTCTCTCTCTCTCTCTCTCTCTCTCTCTCTCTCTCTCTCTCTCTCTCTCTCTCTCTCTCTCGTTACATTGTAACTTTCTTCTTTTTATAGTCTATCCTGTCCAATCATTAAAAGAATAAGTCATACGAGGATTTTTGTGAACTTTTTATGCAAAAAGACACTAAAGGTGTTTCAGTCACCAATAAAGGTACATCGCCCTTTCATTCAGGTAGTCCTTGATTTACAACACTTAATGACAATTCAAAGTTACAATGGCACTGAATAATAACAACTATGTTATTAATTTAATGACGGTAGTGATTCCCTTAACCATGTGGCAAGAAAAGTCATAAAATGGGGAAAAGCTCACTTAACCAATTTCTCACTCAGCGACATACATTTTGGGCTTAATTGAGGTCGTAAGTTGAGGACTACCTGTACAAGAAATCCATTTGCCCATCTCAGCAAGTTCTGTCAATTTCACCAACCAATTCCTCCATGGTGGGCAGGGCTGAATTTTTCTGAATCTTTCATGTGGAATAGAAAAAAAATGGCTGCTGCCAGGTTAGATTCAAAGTTGACAGTTGCTGCAGCCAACTGTCACTGACCGGAATCTTTGTTCTGTTGCTAGGCAACTAACCTAATGGAACCTCCCTTCTCCTCTCCTTCATCCTGGGCCATGACAAGTCAAGACTTCAAGAGCCAAAATAAACAGCAAAGAGGACAAAGGAAAACCTTGTCTTGTCCCCTTCTAGATATCACATGGCTTACTTAGATTACCAGTAATCATAATTGGAGTCTTCTGACACTAAATTCCTTGAATAAAATTCTCAGCAAAGTTCATTTCTCCCAGAACATTAAGTAAAAAAGACCAATTCAAATCCCAGGTCCCCTCAACCTAGCTTCTGGGTGGATGTGGGAAGAAGAAATCAAGTCTCACCATCCCCCACACTGGTGGCACTGCCACCATCTCTCCTGCGGACCTCATGGCCAACTCTTTATTTAACAAACCAAGAAACTTTAAAATATAGAGCTTTTCAGTGTCTTACATGACTAGGGAAAGACAACACGGAGAATGCCAAGGGAAAAAAAACTTTCAATCCCTCCCTTAACTTTCTCCCTATTTACTCAATGATACAAGCTATCACTTTCCTGTCTTTTAGTCACCTCTCATTCAAACTCTGATATTTCTGATGTATTCTATTTCTAGAACAGATGGGAAATGAAATTTCACTTCAGATACTTCAGGAATTTTAAAATTGGCTCCAATTTAAGGTAAATAAACCAAGATTTAAAATAAAAGAAAATTGCAAACAGGCCCTAGTCTTAACTTTAGACAGGGTTCAAGGGACTGATTGCTTCCATAGCAGGGGTGAAATGTAAAATTTGTTACTACCGGTTCTGTGGGCATGGCTTGGTGGTGGTGGGGTAATCTGACTGGGTGGACATGGCCAACTTTTTTTTTTATTTTAACTTTTCAAAGCATTTTTTCTGCAATTGCAAAAAAAATGCTTTGAAAAGCCTCTGCCGATCAGGAACACAGCTGGGATCGTCAGAGCCTTTTCAAAGCATGTGTTAAATTATCTCTTCTGCTGAAGAGGTTGAAGAAAAAAATGCTTTGAAAAGCCTCTGAGATCCCAGCTGAGCCCCGCGATCATCAGAGTTTTTTTTTTTTTACTTTTAAAAGCATTTTTTCGGCGGAAGAAGTTGTAGAAAAAAAGCTTTTAAAAGTTTTTTTTAAAAAAGCCTCTGATGATCGTGTTCCTCAGCTGGGCATGGTGGGGGGGTGGGACACAGGGATTTTTGCTACCGGTTCTCCGAACTACCAACCACCATTGCTACCAGATCGGGCGATCCAGTCCAAACCGGGAGCATTTCACCCCTACTCCATAGCTCTGGGTGACCTTGCAAAAGGACAGCAAAAGTTACCTGGTTCTTGATATATCTTCATCTATTTTCTGGATGAGTCCTGACAGGAAGGATAACCACCAGAGAACAGGGCCTCCAAGGGTGTATCTGGGATTTTTCACTAGCATCCTTTTCTCCAGCTTCTCCTCTGCAGATGGGACCGTGAAGTAGTTTAGGATCCCAAGAGGAAAAGTTGTTTCTCAGTGTAATGATCACAATTCTGGGTTTGGAACATCTGCTGCTGCATCTCCAGTGACTACCTTTGATGTAAACATTAGACTGAAGCAACATGCAAAGGTCTTGCATCAGGAAAGAATATATGCATCAGATCACAGGCTGTGTGGCACAAGTTTTGGGACAGGCAGGGACTGTGCTTTTGAATGTACATTTCTTTCCTTTCAAGAGAAAAATCAGTTTGTCTCTATCTAAATTGGCAAAGTCCCTGGCATTTCCATCTTGTAGAGTGTTTTGAATTCTTCTAACTCTTCTTGTTCTTGTTTAGAAATAGGAAAGGGGTTGATTCAACGCTTGGATTATGGACCTCTTTCTTCTGCTTCTGATGCTTCTGGTGTCCCAGCAAGTCTCTGGGAAGCTTACACTGAACTGCCCACTGAGTTTGGAGCACCAGGATGAAAGCTATCCATGGAGCTATTATAGGCCAGGAGACCATCTCATTGGTGTAGTCCTCTGTGCCACAAGAATATTGAGTGAAATGTTGCTTTTCAACATGGCTCCAAATAAAAAGTCTCACTCGTAAGTCGTTAATGTGTGTGATGGAGTTGCATTCCCTGCATTTACACTTCTGTTCTTTTTATTTCCCTGACTCCTATGTTACAGGACCTGTCTAATTTCCTGAATCCTTTTGATTTCCATGGCTTCCCTGTTCTGTCTTCTTTTGCAGAAGAAACTCAAATCCATAGATGGGGCAAGGAAAACACCTGAAAGAATTCAAGATTGATGATGGAAAGAGCTGTAGTTTCCTCTGACCAGCCCTTTTCCATTCTTTTATAACATCTCATTGATAGCCATTCTCTCATTCTTATAGAAAGAGAGGATGAGTTGTTTGCAGAATCACTTTTCCTGGCCACCTATGAACAAGCATCTTCTTTTTATGATGGTTCTACTCTAATGATTCAATTAGTTTGAAACCGAGTTAATGAAAATCAGCACTACTACAAAATGATATATTTTTAACTTTTAACCCTGGTGTTGGTTAATCTCAATCCTATCTTCTGAACAATAATAAAATGGTTGACTATTATTTGCCCATGGTTATGGATCAGTATTAGCATAAGGATCTAAAGGGTAATAAATAAACTTGAACATTATTTTACAGTCAGACATTTAATGATATGAATAGAATCATCCGCTTCATTATGACCATTGAAGAGATCAACAAGAATCAACCGTACCTCCAAAATGTCACTCTTGGCTACAACATCCAGAATGACTATTTTAACACAATTGGCACTTCAGAAGCTTTGCTAGACATGCTCTCTACCGGAGATGCCAATGTTCCCAATTACAGCTGTGGAAGGAAGGACAACCTTTTGGCTCTTCTTGATGCAGCTGCCAGTGATATCTCCATCCAGATGTCAACCTTAGTAGGCACTTACAAAGTGGCACAGGTTTGTGTGCGTGTTTGTGTTTCTCTATCTGGTCAAGTGAATGGAACAATAGATCCAACCATTTTGTTTATATTAGTTAGTTTACTTTATTGTCATTGAACCTTGTATAATGAAATTAAATGCCGTCTTCAGTGTTCATCATACATAAGAAAACTATAAAAATAAAACAAAAACACACATCCTTCACATTCTATACAATTGAATTGAAATCCACTGATACTGCATTAATATAACACTATAAAATAGAATTCAATATAGTTACTGCACTGGCATAGAAGCTATCTTTCAGCCTCTTTGTCCTTCTTTTTATTATCCTGTACCGTCTGCCAGATGGTTATAGTTTGGGGGGGGAAAAGGGGTGCCCAGGATGAGATGGATCTTTAAGAATGTTTTGAACTTTCTTAAGGCAGCGGGAGCTATAAAGTTCTTCCAAAGAGGGGAGAGGGCAACCAATGATCCTCTGGGCAATGATGCTAATCCTCTGGAGTGCTGTCCAATCTGCCACTCTGCAATTGGCAAACCATACATAGATGCAGTAGGTTAAAATACTCTCTATGGTGCAGTGATAGAAGGTCACCAATTTTTCACCAGTGCTTTTGACCAGTGCTGCAATATGAGTTCCCCAGGTCAGGTCGTCTTTTATGATAACACCCAAAAACTTAAAACTGCCCACTTGCTTTACTTGGTCTCCATTGATAACCAAGGCTTGGATGTCTGATCTATTCCTTCTGTAGTCCACTATAAGCTCCTTGGTCTTATTGGTGTTAAGGACCAAATTATTGTCTCCATACCATGAAAGCAACAAGTCTACCTCATCTCGATAGGCAGACTCATCTCCTCAGAGATGAATTCCACCACTGTTGTAATTAAATAATAGAATTGCTGGCATGAGTAGGAATATAGTTATGTACATAAACAGTACAGAGTGAGGGAATCAACACACAACCCTGTGGTATACCAGTATTAAGAATAAGGGTTGAGGAGATATGAATTATGGAATTCAAGAACTGCTTTCCACTGTGGTCATTTCAGTTGTCATTCCTATGGCTTACGATCCAGAGTTGGGAAGGATCAAAGCAATCATATCCTCTCATGACACCATCCCCATTGCTTTGGGGCTTTCTGCTACACATTTGAGAAAGTTAGCAGAGGTTCTGTGTCTAGTCAAATTGTCTTCTGTGTAAAAGGAAACTGGAGCAAAGATTGAAAGTTCTTGTTTTGTAGATTATTTTAGCCAAAATAATATTTTTCAATGGTAACATATTCTAGATTCATGGAAAAAGTCCCAGTGAATTATCTTACTTATGCACACCCCTTACAGACCTCTTAGGAATGGGGTGAGGTCAACAATAGACAGTTTAAAGTTAAAATTAGGGGATGTTGAGGATGTAACAAAAGAGTCAGGTAGTGCATTCCAGGCATTGACCACTCTGTTGCTGAAGTCGTATTTTCTGCAATCGAGTTTAGAGAGGTTTACCTTGAGTTTGTATCTATTCTGTGCTCGTGTATTGTTGTGATTGAAGCTGAAGTAGTCATTGACAGATAGGACATTGTAGCGGATAATTTTGTGTACTACGTTTGGGTCGGACCGTAAGTGGCGTAGTTCTAGTATATGAAATATACCATATTTATATTAATTTGTATATGAAAGAGAGATCAGTATCTTAAACCGCACATTAGATGAAGGACTTTTTGGAATCTTTGCATTAAACCAATATATTTTCTTTGCAATCAGAATTTTAAAACGTACTTATAATATGAAACTGTACTTGAACAAAAGAGTTCAGTTGGTATCCCCATATGTGGATCTCATGATGGTAACTTGTAGTGATGATACAGAAATATTATTTGTAGTCTTTATTCTTTTCTGCTTATTATATTATGTATCTTCATATGGGGTCTAGTAACTGATCAACCACCTACTATTCTTATATGTTCATAAGAAACAAATTGGATGGATTAAAAGCTAACATTTGGACTTGATCTGACCCCAAATATAACACAGAATTCTTCATAACTTTTTTTCAGACCAGTTATGAAATTGTTTCAGAGGCTCTGAGTGATAAAAGTCAATTCCCCTTTTTCCACCCGATGTTCCCCAAAGAAGGGATCCAATATCCCGGCATTGTCCAACTGCTCCTCCATTTCAGATGGACTTTGATTGGTCTCTTTGCTTCAGACACAGAAAATGGAGAGAATTTCATGAGGACTTTTACTCGGATGCTTGTCAGGAATGGGATTTGTGTTGTTATATCACAACGATTCTCAACGACTCGATTTACAGCACCTCTCAGGAATGCCATCTCTAAGTGGAGACAAGTCAATGTCTTTCTTCACTCCATCGAACATGTTCCTCTTTTGGAGAGAATTATTCCTTTCCATTTAACATTTAGGCAGTTGTCTGGACCTATAGAAGGGAAAGTCTGGATCCTCACAATCTTTGAGAAACATTACATGCGAAGGAACATATATTTCAAGTACATTCATAGTGTATGGAGTTTTCGTTTACAGGAAAAAAAAGTGACAAAAGATAATGCCGTATACAAGTTCCACTTTATAGAACCCCAATATCGAGATCGGTCTTTGCACTGTTCTTTTTCAAAGCATGCCTTTTCTGTCAAAGGTCGTAGAAGATGCACCCAGAAAGCACCAATGGAGGATAAAATAAGCAGCATGAAGATTGTAACTAAAGTAAAAGTTTTCAGTATCGTGAGGACTCTGACCCACGTCTTGAATGCTGCATATGCCTCCAGTTCCAGGAGAAGAAGAAAGAAAGACAAAGAGAAGTTGAGGACATCAAGGCTGCAGCCATGGCAGGTATTGGATCCCAATATACCTTGATATTACAGACTGAAAATTTTCTTCCCCTTCGGGGCTCTCAGGTTGCCTTGATGCTGACCTTCCTCCTCCTCTGATTCAGCTGCTGGAGGGGCCGGTGGCTGACAGGCCATAACAAATGTCTCTTTCTCCCCCTGTTGTTCAATTTATTTGTCATTTACTCTAGAATCTTCCCTATAATTGGCCAATTGTGTTAAATATATTTTCTCAATAATATTTTGTCAGTCTGTGATTGACAAATTTTACTGATTTTTTTTTTTCTTTTGTTCACTTGTGGAAATAACACCTGTTCTAATTAAGCATATTTACAACTGCTAAAGCTGTAAAGATTTAAATGTGAATAGACCATGTAGGACAGGGGTGTCCATCACATACAAGGCCACACACACACCACCTCAGCAAAGGCAAAAAATGTCATGATACGTCACAATACATCACGTGACGTGATTCAGTTTGACATCCACGATGTAGGATAAGAAACCAAGGTTTCTGCTTTTAAAATTCATGGACTTTTCCATTCTAGCTTCATCCCTTTATGAAGAAGAGTTTATTTTGTAATATTTCTCTTTGGAAACTGTACGTGGATCAAAATGGAGATATAGCTGCAGATCTGGACATTGTGAGCAGGATGGTTGACTTCAAAGATTACTTCCCCAAAGGCAAACTGGGGAGTTTTGAAAAAAAGGGACTTTTTGTCAACCAAGATGCTCTTCAACAGCTAACATCGCTCAACCAGGTGAGAAAAATATCAGTGTCTTTTCTCTATTGTCCAAAGATGTAACACCTTTTTCAAGCAAGCTAAGCATAGTCACCATGGCTTAATGGTGAAATGAAGCCACGTGAAACTGATGAGAGGGGCCATCAGGTGCTTGGATTGTGATTCTGATTGCCTTGCTTCTTCCTTGGCAATTTTGTTTAGTAGTTTCTGAATTTGGTGTCAGACTGAATCCAATGAAATTCAGTCAAAACCAGGGTGAAATCAGACTGGTTCAGACAGGTCCTGGGGAACCGCTAGGGATTATTGGCATCAGTTCGCCGAACCAGAAGTAATTATGCCTTCTTGGCACCACCAACACCTGCCCAGTTGCCGCTCACCTCTTTGCATCCGTGCATCAGGCACTGTACCCATCTACTCCTCTTCCTCATCATCAGCTACCTCTCGACCTGGGGGCTACTGACTCCCCATCTGAGAACCAATGGACAGCCCAGGCTCTGCCTCTGTCTCTCTCTCTCTCTCTCTGCCAGCTCCATTCCCTCTTCCCTCTTGGAGCTCTCAGGCTGCCTTGATGCTGATCCTGACTCCCACACCTCCTCTTCCTCTGATTTGGCTGCTGGAGGGACCGGCGGCCAACAGGCCACAACAGTAATGTTTTAAGCAGCCCAGAGTTATCCAGAGTGATGCATTCCTCTCTTTCCCCACACATGGATAGAGCAATTTGACTTCTGTTCCTAAAAGGGGGGTCCAAAGCTTTCAGTTCACATGAAATCATAATGACTGTTGTGATATGAGACAATGCCCTTACCCAGAAGAATTGAAATAAGACTTTGATCCAAAGAAAAGTTCTTCCTCATATCAGAAGTCATGAGTGACAATTTGAAAGGAAATACTACCTGTACTTAAATTTGGCCTTTGGCTTGTAAGAAGGCACTTCCATCTGAAAAGTTCTTGAATGCAATTTTTACCTTGATTGTTAGATACTAAAGTCTCTCTGGGCAAAAAAGGAGGCTCCAGATTTAATTAATAATAAATGTATGTTAGTCTTTCTATGCCAATTGATGTCACAGAATTGTAGTTATTAAACAAAAAGGTTTTTCTTGGATATCTAGCTGGGCCTTAGAAACATCTCCTTCTGTCACAAGAGTCAGGCTCATGTCTAACTTCCGGCAGCAAAAAGTACTTGACTTACCCTGTTTGAGGCTTCTCATGATCTCATGTCCATCTTACACAGGGGTGGGCTTCAAAAATTTTACTAAGAGGTTCAGGGCCGGATTTTCCTATAGGCTAACTAGGCTTCAGCCTAGGGCCTCAAGATCAAGAGGGGCCTACATTCAAATTGTTAGCAAAATTAAAATTACACTTTCACTATAGGTGAAAGGGCCTCATAAGTGGAATAGCCTAGGGCCTCTTTTCATCTAAATCCGGCCCTGCAGAGGTTCTCTGCCCAGTTGCTCGGTGGGTGTGATCATGATGGTTGTGGCCTAGTCAGCCTCCTGCACCACAACAGGAGGGGCTTTTTCGATCCTCCAGGAATGTGAAAATGGCCTCCCCAGGCTCCAGAGGCCCATTTTTCACCCTCCCTGAGCCTTCATGCATACCCTGCACATATCTGCATCCCAAACAGGCCGAATGGGGACTCCTGGGAGTGGCAGAATGCCGTGGGTGGGGCCAGCCAGGAATGGGATTTGGGGTTTCTCTGAACTGCACAGAATCTTTGCTAGAAGTTCTCTCGAACTCCTGCGAGCCCCCAGCAGCCCACCCCTGATCTTACATCACAACAGTTCCAGAAATTAGGCAGTTTTAGTCTTATTTCACTAGCATGGCAGCCGCATGACTTGAGGAAATAAATATATAAAGAAACAAATAACATTCTCTTTAAGGTTGACTGCCCTTATTTGGAAGCACCTTTTGCTTTGTAGCTTTAGCAGAAAACTGTTTTGAACCCCTTTCAAAGGGCTTTACAATGTTTTATATAGTCCTTAAGAATTTTTTTGCAGCTCTTACTAGTAAGAAGTTGGATTTTTTAATCACAATTTTATTTTTTGAAAATCAATCTAATGGAGTAAAAATTTTAATACATTTATAAATTTAATTTAAATTTAGAATCAATCAATTTATTACAGTCTCAGACCAGAAACCAGAACAAATAAAAATGCTCAGTAAATATACAATGAAAAATTATAGTAAAAAATAATAAATAACACTAAAATCTATAATAAAATCCAGTCTGTCAATTATACATGGTCTAACTACGCTACAATTGCAATCCATCAACTGTGTGGCCCGTTGTAGGTTCAGGGCTAAAAGGGAAAAGACTAAGCAGTACCAAGGCTTTGCCACATTTGTTATATAACACAACTATGGTGGAGAAGACACGTGTTTGCGATGAATCCCCAGTGCTGCTGCGCAGAATCTGGACACATGCGCTGTAGTTATGTTCATCCTTAAGCAGCCACTGAAGATAGGTCGAATCAGAACAGCCAGGATACCTACCAGTAGCAGTTATGGGCAGAATATGCTTTTTCCTAATCTCTGTATAAAAACAACATCTAAGGAGCATGTGACCCACAGTCTCCACCTCTCCTGAGCTGCAGGAACAGAGTCTTTCCATCAATGGTATCCTTTTATACTTGCCGTACAGGATGGCCGATGGAAGTGCATGGCACCGTGCTAGCAAAAATGCTAAATTTAATGATGAAAATTTACAGTTAAATTAAATACAATTTAATATGAATAGATAATCATACCTGAATGTCATGGATACCTGAAGAATGGAGGAATGCATGTTAAGATGGCTATAAGGAGGAAGCCACTGGTTGTCATTTAATGCTTAAATATTTTTTCAGTTCAATCCTTCTAGACTTTATTAAGTAGAAAAGTACCTTATTGCAAAGGGATCTGCCAGAAGCAAAGGTGAGGAACTAAATGAAGAAACCGCAAGTTCTTACAGTCATTTGGAATTAGTTAGAAATCTTATATATTCATCTAAGTGAGGCCCATAGTGTACTGGACTAATGTTTACATTGACCTCTATTCTCCATGGATGGTCAGTCCTGACATGTTTTCTTTGGCATTCCTTATTTGCCTGCTTTAGAGTTTCCCTCAATCCAAATGTGTGGAAAATTGTCATCCTGGATTTGTCAAGCAGGCTCGAGAAGGAGAGCCAGTTTGCTGCTACGATTGCATTCCTTGTCCAAAGGGGACCATCTCCACTCAGGAAGGTGGGTAACTCTGGAGGAAGAATGCTGGATTCCTCCAGAGCATCTAGATCGAGATGCATGTTGAAGACACATTTAATTTTTAATATGTTGCTGGTTTTTTTTCATAATGTGAATAATAAGAAAAAGATCTTGAAGGATGAGATTGGAAGAGATAGGAGGACATGGTGGATTCTGCAAGGTTACTTATGCCGAGTGAAATCTCTCTTCTACTTGACAGTTTAGAAGTGTCCTGTCATCTTACTTTTACTAGGAACATCTGAATTCTTTGAAATGTGAGAAATGGTTTCAGATCAGTGGTGGGATTCTACCAGTTTGGACCGGTTCGGGCGAACCATTAGCTCCAACTTTCAGCCATGAGCAAACTGGTTTTCTCTTTCTTTGGAGTGGCCCACACGACCGTCCCTGCATTATACTCATCTATATTTCTGTTTCCGAAGCCCAGCTGATCAGGGCGGCAAAGTGGATTGCCGCTCCTCAGCTGTTTTCCTTGCTCTCAGCAACGCGGAAGTTCACTTTTCTACCAATTGCGTAAACACGCACAGCGAATCAGTCGAGTACAGCGCGCGCTTGGCGAACCAGTGGTTGAACCGGTAGGATGCCACCCCTGTTTCAGATGAATGGCTTTTTCCCATCCAAGCTAACTTTACTTCATACGCCAGTGATACATCAATCAATCATGCAACCAATATTTCAATCAATTAATCCATCAGTCGATCTTTATTAAGTTCATAGGGATACATAAGCAGAACGAACTAATTGGGAGGATCACAGAGGGAGAGCTTTGGGTTTAAGAAATAAGAGAGAGCCAAGTGAAATCCATCAAGAGGATATCAGTGTGAGAGGAGAGATGGAAAGTAAATTTACCATTATTAGGCATAAAATCTGTCTCTTTCCTCTCAAATACTTTCACTTGTGATTTTAGAAGTAAAAGACAAATATTGTTTATAGCCCAGTTCAACCCTCCCAGGTTCAATAAAATCACCATAATGGATTCATTATTAGGATCCTTACTAAGCCTGTCTATCTAATCTAATCTCATCTTTTCAATTTTATTGGATATTAAACAGTGAAATACAATATAATATAATAGAAAGGAAGAGGAAAAGAGAATTAATAAAGAACAATCTACATATTATGCACTTATACCAATGTGAAAGTCATTAAGTCTTTAAAAGTATTATTAAATCAAGAGAGTATGGAAATAGATTAATTCATCTTTTCATTTTTAGAAGTCATTGCAGAAAAAGGTAATAATCTCAGTTTATGTTCTTGAATTAGTTCAGGAATCGATTTATTTTTTTTTACATCAGATTATTTTGATATGAAGTGATTTTTGGCAGAATGCGGTTAAACCAACAATGAAACATTTTACAAAAGCAACCTCAAGCATGTAACAGAAATAATAAAGATAGAAAGAGGCAACTACATCAATATGTTACATGTGATGCAACCAGTGCATGGGATCCCTATCATTAGTGGGTCCCCGGATTTGTTGAAAGAATCACATATTAAGGAATTTCTAGAGGAGCTCAAGGATTGCAGCTAATTTCACACTTGGGGGACTTAATGCCTATTTCCAGCAATCGCACACCACCTTCTGTCTTGAAGGAGGCCCTCTTCTCAAGAGTCTCACCGTGGACCTCAGCATGAAAACCAGAGCAGATATGATAGACCTGCCCCAGATTGGTTCCCTAAAATATTGCCACCTTATGGGTTTTTGGAAGCCTGCTTTTTCTGTTGGAAATCCTGCCCTATTGCACACCTTCTTCCTTGAATTCCAACAGGCACCCAGCCTTCTGAAATTCTGGACAAGAAGTTCCTCTCCCAAATGTTGAGATAAAGTGCAGGATGAGAATGTGGCATGTTGCATCAGTTAAGGTGGTTGTGACTCCGACTATTTCTTTTTTGGATTTTATTTCTTCTTGTTGTTTTTATAGCTGTATATATTGGGGGGTGGGGGTTTGCTGGCTATAAACTGCCCAAAGTTTGCTTTAAAAAGGTCAGCCAGACTAATGTTTTATATATGTATGCAGCCTCCTATTTATGATTTGTTATGACAGTTCCTGTCTCTCAGTATCAGTTGTCATCCAAAGGTCTTTCTTGAGATGTGAAAGGAGAGACTATAAAAGGAATATTGCTTTCTGTTTTGTCAGATACTGAAAAATGCACCCAGTGCCCAGATGATCAATATCCAACTGCGAACCGAATCCAATGTATCCCAAAAAGAATAATCTTCCTGTCCTATGAAGAAACTCTCAGCATCATCCTGATCTCATTTGCCCTAATCTTGTTCCTAACCACCGGTTTTGTTTCACTCATATTCCTTCAATACCGAGAAACTCCCATTGTCAAAGCCAACAACCGGGACCTTTCCTACATCCTCCTGGTCTCTCTCCTGCTCTGTTTCTTATCCTCCTTGTTCTTTATTGGCCGACCAAGGAAAGCCTCCTGCCTTCTCCGACAAGCAGTCTTCAGCATTGTCTTCTCAATAGCTGTGTCTTCTGTGTTGGCCAAAACGATCACAGTGGTATTGGCCTTCCTGACTTCAAAACCAGGAAACAGGATGAGAAGGTGGTTGGGGAAGAGCTTGGCCAACTCCATCATCCTTTCTGGTTCTGGTTTCCAGATTGTCATCTGTGCCTTGTGGCTGGGAATTTCTCCCCCATTCCCTGACTCTGACCTCCACTCCCAGCCTGAGGAGATCATCCTTCAGTGCAATGAAGGCTCCATCACCATGTTTTATGTTGTCCTTGGCTATATGTGTTTCCTAGCCACCATTTGCTTTACTGTAGCTTTTTTGGCAAGGAACCTGCCTGGGGCCTTCAATGAAGCTAAGCTGATCACTTTCAGCATGCTGGTTTTCTGCAGTGTCTGGGTCTCCTTCCTGCCCGCCTACCTGAGCACCAAAGGAAAGTCTATGGTAGTCGTGCAGATCTTCTCCATCTTGGCCTCCAGTGCTGGGCTGCTGGGCTGCATCTTCTTTCCCAAATGCTACATCCTCCTCCTGAGGCCAGATCTAAATACAAAGGAACACCTAATGACAAAAGTAGGGAAATAATAGTGAAACTGTTTTTAGGCTCATAACGTTTCATTTTTCATTGCCGTTTTTGGTGTGCTTGTATTCTTCCTTTGCATAAATTGGACAATTAAGGTTATTAAAAAGCAATTGAATAGAAATATGAAGAGTTTAAGAGTAATCAAATTAAAATACAATATAATCTTCAAACAGTAAAATAACTGAATAATTAAACCCCTCCCCAGTTGCAACACTCTAAATGACCTACCCTAGTTATGTTGCAGGTGTTCGATTACATTATAGAATTTGGACCTCAGAATTTCAGGACTTGGTCTTGAGACATCACTGCTCTAACAGCCTTTCTGAACATAACTGAAAAGTAATGATCCAACAGCAAAACAACATCTGGAAAGCTGAATAGTTTCTGTGAATATTTGATCCAGGGAAGACAGAGAAAACATCCTCATACCAGAGGATGGTCTCTTATCCAAAGAAGCCACATGATACTCTAGTCCCCAAAATAGATAGCTTTCTGCATTGTACTATGTGAATGGGAAAAGAATATATGCTAGATATATGATATCAGGAGGATATTCCTGGAACGTCACTATCCTGACTTAACTAGGGAGCTGCAGGGAGAGCCCACCATCTCCAGGAGCTGCCTAGAGGAGAACTGGCTTTGCCACATCCAAAGATGATTTTTGACCTTCCGGGCCCACCAGAAGTCAGGAAATGGGCTGTTTCCAGCCTCTGGGGGGCAGGGTGTCCATTTTTGCTCTCCCCAAGCTCCTAGAAAGCCTCTAGAGCCTGGGAGGGCAAAAAACTGGTCCCACCAGTCCCACTGGAAGTTGGGAAATGGGCCATTTCCAGCCTCTGGAGGGCATCCGGGGGTGGGTGGTGGGGAAGGCTATTTTCACCCTTGTCAGGCTCCAAGAAAGCCTCTGGAGCCTAGAGAGAGCAAAAAACAGACCTTCCAGGCCCACTGTAAGTTGGGAAACGGGCCATTTCCAGCCTGCAGAGGGCTTCCGGATGGGTGGGGAAGGCCCGTTTTCACCCTCCCTAGGCTCTTAGAAAGCCTCTGGGGCCTCGGAAGGGTGAAAAAAAAACAGGCCCCACCAGTCCCACCAGAAGTCGGGAAATGGACCATTTCTGGCCTCTGGAGGGCCTTCAGGGGGATGGGAAAGGCTGTTTTCACCCTCGCCAGGCTCCAAGAAAGCCTCTGAGGAGGGCAAAAAACAGACCTACCAGTCCGCTGTGCCATTGCATGCCAAAAGTGGGAGGAGCTCTGTGAAAGGTTGTCAGATTTCTTCAAAATAATTTAGGATGGTCTCAAACGTGTCTCCATAATAGCTCTATGGGAATCAGTATTCCCATTCCCCTGAGGTCTGTGTAGTACTAGAAGGAAATGCATATTTATCCTCTTTAGATATTACAAGTTCCTCATTTAAATGACACATAATTTCTTCACATAAACTCCCCATCCTCGTGGTCACAACTACTGACTGACAAAAGGTAAATATTAAACCTCCCCCAGGACTGAAGTCAAAGTCTTCCTCTCTACTGGATCCTTTGTGCCCTCCAGTAACCCCCAGAAGGCCGGATGAGTTCATGTGCTTTCTGGGGACAGTAGAAAAGTTGCTCTATAAAAGTGACCGTGTCAAATGAACTCCGCCTCTGCCTCAAGCCATTTGCACTGTGGTGCTCTTTGGGAGACCCAGCCTGGATCTGAACCAGAATTTCCTTCTAATGATACATACCTAAAAGTGTCAAACAAAGCCTGAGCTTCCCTGCCAAATCTGTTTTTCAAAGAGGAGCTTGCAAAAGAGTTTTGAAAAAGGAGCTTTGAAAAAGCTTTCAAAGAGGAGCTTCCAATCAATAAAAGGATAAGTCGTAAGAGGATTTTTGTGAACTTTTTATGCAAAAAGACACTAAGGGTGTTTCAGTCACTAATAAAGGTACATTGCCCTTTCATTCATGTAGTCCTTGATTTACAACAGTTCACTTAATGACAATTCAAAGTTACAATGGCACTGAAAAAAAGTGACTTATGGCCATCTTTCACACTTATGACCTTTGTAGAATTTGAACATACATTTTGATTTACATTTGGATGCTTGACAATTGACTCACATTTATGACGGTTGAAGGGACCCAGGGTCATGTGATCGCCTTTTGCAACCTTCTGACAAGCAAAGTCAATGGGGAAACTAGATTCACTTAATGTTAATTAAGTTAATTAAGTTAATGTTCACTTAATAAAATTAATGTTATTAATTTAATGACGATAGTGATTCCCTTAACTAATGTAGCAAGAAAAGTCATAAAATGGGGCAAAGCTCACTTAACCAATTTCTCTCTCAGCGACATACATTTTGGGCTCAATTGAGGTCGTAAATTGAGGATTACCTGTAAAAGAAATCTATTTGCCCATCTCAGCAAATTCTGTCCATTTCACCAACCAATTCCTCCATGGTGGGCAGGGCTGAATTTTTCTGAATCTTCCATGTGGAAAAGAAAACAAATGGCTGCTGTCAGGTTAGATTCAAAGTTGACAGTTGCTGCAGCCAACTGTCACTGATCGGGATCTTTGTTCTGTTGCTAGGCAACTAACCTAACGGAACCTCCCTTCTGCTCTCCTTCATCCTGGGCCATGACAAGTCAACACTTCAAGAGCCCAAAAAAACAGCAAAGAGGACAAAGGAACACCTTGTCTTGTCTCCTTCTAGATACCACATGGTTTACTTAGATCACCATTAATCATGACTGGAGACTTCTGACACTAAATTCCTTGAATAAAATTCTCAGCAAAGTTCATATCTTCCAGAACTTTAAGTAAAAAAGACCAATTCAAATCCCAGGTCCCCTCAAACTAGCTTCTGGGTGGATGTGGGAAGAAATCAAATCTCTCCATCTACCACACTGTGGGCATTGCCACCATCTCCCCTGCAGACCTCATGGCCCATTCTTTATTTAACAAACCAAGAAACTTCAAAATATAAAGGATTTCAGTGTCTTACACATAAGACAATACAGAGAGTGTCAAGGAAAAAAAAAACTTTCAATCCCTCCTTTACCTTTCTCCAAATTTACTCAATGATACAAGCTATCACTTTCCTGTCTTCTACTCACCTCTCAATCAAACTCTGATATTCCTGAACTATTCTATTTCTAGAACAGATGGGAAATGAAATTGCACTTCAGATACTTCAGGAATTTTAAAATTGGCTCCAATTTAATGTAAATAAACCAAGATTTAAAAGAAAAGAAAATCACAAACAGGCCCTAGTCTAAACTTTAGACAGGGTTCAAGAAACTGATTGCCTCCATAGCTCTGGGTGACGTTGCCCAAGAGACTTTGGAGGAGAGACCATCTTGAAGGACAGCAAAAGTGCCCTGTTTGTTGATATGTCTTCATCTATTTTCTGGATGAGTCCTGACAGGAAGGATAACCACTAGAGAACAGGGCTTCCAAGGATATATCTGTGATTTTTCACTAACATCCCTTTCTCTAGCATGAAATGTTGCCTTTCAACACGGCTCCAAATAAAAAGTCAAGCATCAAAAGTTAAGCAACAAAGGAAAGTCTTTGTTGGCCATGCAGGTTTTCTCCATCTTGGCCTCTGGTGCTGGTCTTCTGGGCTGCATATTCTTTCCCAACTGCTTCATTGTCCTCCTGAGACCAGATCTAAACACTAAGGAGCATCTAATGATAAAAGTCGTGAAATGATTTCTAAGGCTTATAATATTTACTTATTCATTATTATTGTATTTATCTGCTTCCTTTGCAACTGTTTGACAATTTATGTTGTTTAAAACTAGATAAAATTATGAACAGTGTAAGACTAAGGAAATTAAAATCTAAGATAATATCAAATAATAGAATAAATGAATTCATAATTAATATTTATGGTTTTTAGCCGTTGGTAGTCCATATTTTCCTCAGCGTGAGGGCTAGCCAATATTTGGCTTAAGCAACCATTCAAAATAGGACAAATATGAGCCATGTCCTGGCCATTGGAATCCCAAGAGTTTGATAGATTTCTTTAAAATAAATTACAAAGGTCTCAATCTCATCGCTTTAATAGTTCTTTTGGAATTTTCATTTCTCTGAGGTTTGGATTGTACTGGGAGGATAATGGTAATTGAGAAAGAAGTGATGTTGCAACTTCAACAACTCTAAATGATGTTGGTGCTCCTTGTTCTCCTGATGTTCTCTTTCTGAGCA